AGCAGGAGAACACGGACAAAAAAAATTCATGACACGTAGCAGGAGGTTGTTGTAAAGAGCTTTGCTTTGGGAGACAATTCTGTTCTGCAAATATCAATGTGCTTCAAGTATAGTCCCAGTTTGGAAACGTGTCAGAGAGTTCATTGATGGTATCACCTTCTATTTATGATTTAGGCCAGTTTTCTTCTGTCTTGGTTTCATGGTCAGTGCCAGAAATCCTGAAGAATTTTTCATCCTTCCCCCATCTCTCTGCAAGTTTGTGCTGAGATTTTTTTTTAAGTTTATGGGGTGGGTTTTTTTCTTTCCCACAGTTTTCCAGCTTCATTCAGGTTTTGCCCTAGTTAAACCCAAGAGGACCTTTAACAGAGCTGCTCTCTCTCCCTCTGTTTCTCTCAGCACTAAAGTGTTTCTCTAGTAATATGTATGATACTATTCTCATACTGTCGGGAGCCAAATATTTCTATAAAATGTTTTGGAAATGAAAACTCTCTGCATTGTCAGTGTAAAAAGATGCTGAAGACATGCATGACTGAACAGGCAAATGTAACCAAGCTACTGAGAAGTTTAATATTGGAGATGCATTGTATTGACTGACATTAGTATAAATGGCAAACAGACCTCTGCAAACATTTACTGTCATTACTTGTCAGTGCTTGGATTCTTAAGAGAAAAGCAGTGGAAAACAGCTCTACAGAGCAGTAAGAAATCATTTTAAGTGTCTCCCAATCTCTTTCCTTTGTCTAATAGGACAGCAGATATCTCCAGATCCCTTTCTAAACAGGCTTCAAAGACAGCAAGGACCAATCTGTATTAGAAAAGCTTTATTCTTGCAGTAGATAGAGGAGAATATTAATAGCAGTGGGATTATTATTCCATCTAAATCAATAGAGGAAGTTTCTGTTCTGTTTAAGAAAAACTGACTCTGCTGAGACAGTTGGAAAGGAGAGAGAGAGATTAGACTAATAGCTAAATCTATAGTAAGACATAAAGTTCTAAAAATGTGATGGGAATATTTGAAAGTGCAATCCTTAAATTCCCTTCTCAGCCAGTCACCAGAGGTTTCATTGCAGATTGTGTTGCAGTGTAGTTTGCCAGTCATGCAATGCACTCTTCCTTTCCAGAACAGCATTGTCCTCTGTCTTGGCACTTGTGAGAAAGTGAATATTCATATTTAGCTTCTGAGGAAAAGATCTTTAGGAAACTCTCCTCAACATATGTCTCTTAATTTGGTAGAGATATTCAGAATGCACTTCCTGCAAACCTTTGGTGTTAGGGGATCACCTGAACTTTTGATCCCAACAAGGTTAATGACTGAGGAGGAGGAGGAGATGCCCCAGACCTCAGTCTCTAGAAAGTGCATTCGAATTGATACAGAACTCACACTTTCCTTCCTCTCATTTGAGTTTCAGTTGAACTTTAGAAGTCTAAAATTTCCATGAGAGACTGAGGGTGCTTCCAGAAGACTTAGATTTTCATGATTAGCAGTCCTCCAAAACACCACTTGCAAAAATGGGCTCCTTATTGGAGAAGAAAAAGTAAGAAAGACTGCAGATCTTGTGAAAAGACTTGGTTTCCTAGGAAAGTCTACTTTGTGGGTGTCAGGGGGAGGGGAAAGATTTTCCTCCAACCACTACAGCTCCATCAATTGCAATATTATCCCAGTAATGATTGTTATGCCTAATAGTCATGGACAGCAACTTTATTCATCCTAGAAAGTGCACAAAGGGAAGCAGCGCTGCAGTCTCCAAGATACGACGCTGCCGCTGTTAAATTTGCCATGGATGGTTGGATTCATCAGTGTGCATGCATCTTTGACTGATACATCATGCTGGATGCTTTAGGCAAACACACACTAATTAGTAGAACAAATAGAAAACCCTGAGGATGACCATGCTTAATGACATTGCCCATATTTTAAACAGTCTCTACGACAAATGACTCATTTCATGGCTGTAGGCAGTGCATGTTAATTTATCTGTATCAGTTCCTAGGTTGAAGGAACTTCACTTTTAACAAGACACTGTGTTGTGCCTTTCTAGGAAATTTCCCAAGACTTTAGCTTTTGAACAAACAAGAAACTAGCCAGGCCAATTCAGGAACTGCAAGATAAGAGATGTAGAATCCGTCAGAAGTTTAGAGTCAATAGATCCTGATGAATTAGTTACTGTATAAAACCCCAAAAGAATCTGAAAAGGACTTGAAATTAAATCCTTTGAGGAGTGTTGAGTTAGAACACATAACTCTGGCTCAAAACAAAGGTGAATTGTGCAGAAGGTGCAGAAGCCTCTGTGGTTCCTGCTGTGAATGCTTCAGTCAGGTAATTGCTTCTCAGTTCTTCTGCTGAGACTGATTGAAAAGTCGAGTCTGGAGAACAAAGCAAATTCACAGGTGTCTTATACCAGCACATTTGTAGCTATCTTGTCAATTCCAGTTGTGTACTGGCTTGCTTTTCTTCGGTGATAAGTTTGACTGGAGGACTTGGGTAAAGCAAAGCTTGTTCCTATAAAATGAATGAGCTGAAGATCGTGCTCAAATGAGGCCCAAGAGTCTATGACATTGCTGAAATGTAGTCACTTTATTCTGCATAACTACACCAGTTCAAAGCTTCAGTAGCAAAAGCAGTCTGAATATTTTTGCCTTAAAGATGATATGCCCTTGTACTGGCAGGTTGGATGGGAGGGGAACAGAGAAGGGAGCAGATGGAGTGGAGGCAGATGACCTGGCATATTAGACCCGAAAATCAGGATGGTTCATTCTCCCTCATTCAACAGGATGAGAGGAACAGAAAAAGCAATTTGTGCTGCAAAGACCTCATATCCTCCCATAGTCAAACTCTTTTATCAGCAGTGGAAGTCTTTACAGTCAGTCTGGCTCTCCAAATGGTCTGGCAGAAGCAATAAAGGTGGTGCCACTGCCTCTGTTGCAGGTTGCTAAGCAGTCATGTGCTTACAAATTGGATGTCACCACTGAGTGTGGTTAGGAAAGCTTGACTGTCACCTCTACACAGGCACGTGGAAGGGCATTGTCAGTAGCTTCATGCTTGCAAAAAAAAGTTAAAATCTCATCCAACTGTTACACTATCTTTACTGAATACATATTTTGAAGCTGTGACAGTTTATGTTCTTATAAACATGTAACACAGAGACTAAATGATAAACAAGCTCTTGGCAAGTAATCTTCCAGCAAGTAAAAGGTTCAGCATCCTCACAGAGATCTTGAAGAAACACCTTTATTTGGCACACAACATGAGGTTGTCGCTAACAACTTCCAAAGCTAAATTTGCAAATCTGATGCTAGATAATGCCTTGGTAAATTCCAGGATTTCACCCTGCTCGCTGTTTCTCGCACTTTTTTGGAACTTGTGCTTAAATGCAGTTGTATTCATCGATCTGCTACAGTCCTCTCCTGGACAAAGTGGTTAGAAAGGGGTTTGTGCTCTTTTGTACATCTGGCATTCTGAAAGTATTCAGGTCCTGACTGAGGACATTTCTGACTTTCTCCTGCACTTTATAAAGCAGTGGAGGGAGGGAGAGAGAGATAACAGTATTTTGGGATCAAAACCCTGGAGTTAGGGACCCCAGAGATGTAGGTTCTTTTTTTTTTTTAACACCGCTGTAATCTTCTTTTGTGGATTTAGATAAATCATTTAGTGTCACTGAGCCTTGTGTAAAGGCAAACTAACAAGCTCTGGTCTCTCCTTGCTTTCTCCTGTTTGCATCCGCTTGGATTTTTCCGAGTGCTAGGGCAGACCTCCCACATGCATTTAAGGTGAACTGCGCTCACAACTGTTAAGAGTGCACTTACACAGCCTGAATACCTGATGTGCACAGTTGCAGGCTGATGTGGAAATGTGTTTGTAGCACATCCAGCTCCTCGCATCCCTCTCCCCCGCGGTACCCGCATCCCTCTCCCCCGGCAGCCGATGCTCCTCGCTCGGCACGCAGCGAGCAAACGGCTGTTTGCGCTGATTTAGTCGCTAATATTTATCGTGTCTGCTGGTTTGGAGAAAGACGAGGCGGTGGAGGGGTGTCTGGAAATTCTTTGAGCCTTGTTATCCCTACAGTAACTATAGACTTGGGCAGGAATTCGGGTGATGATTTCAGCAGCGTGCCCTGCTCCTCTCCCAGCCCTGCCCATTCAGCTCGCCTAAATCAACACTGCCGAGCTGCTCATCACACGCTCTGAAACAAAACAGCACTTCACTCCGGGATCTGGGCAAGATCAGGCTTCCCTCCCTCCTCCTGCTCTCCCCTCCCTCTCTGCCCCCTCCCTGCTTTTCCCCTCCTCTCCCGCAGCCGCTGAGCGCTCCCAGCGCTCCGGCCCGGCAGGCTGAGCTGGGGCTCGGAGCCCGCACTGCCCTCCCTGCCCTCTGCCCCTCTGCCCCTCTCCCGGCTGCCCTCGCCCCTCTCCCGCTGCCCTCTGCCCCTCTCCGGCCGCCAAAAGTTGTGCGGAGCGGCTGAGGATGGGAGCGCATCTGCAGCCGCTCGCCCTGCGGCTCCTGGCGCTGACTTTCCCCTTGGTCGCCAAGGGGTTTTCTGATGAAACCTTGGAGAAAGCCGCGAAATCCGAGGGATATTGCAGTCGGATCCTGCGAGCCCAAGGCACCAGGAGGGAAGGGTACAATGAATTCAGCCTTAGGGTGGAAGGCGATCCAGAATTTTACAAGCCTGGAAACAGTTACCGGGGTGAGTTGCACATCCTCTGCATCCCATGCTGACAGCAATGGTTAGGATAAGTGGCTCTGGAACTGTAACGTGGCTCTGCCTGTCATCTCCGGATCCCTTTTGGCTTGTGTGTGTGTGTGACTGTGTGGGTTAAGATCGGGTAATAGGCTCCCACGCTTTACTTTATTGGGGATGCTTTCCTGACAAGTGAGAGGGAGTTACATTTCAGTGTATCACTTTACTCCCAAACATTAACTCCGTATTAAGAGGAATTTCCTTTCTTGTATGAATCCTCTCTACTGGATCAGGTCTAGCACAAGATCACAAGTTGTTGTGATACGAACTGCACTCTTCTTGCATTTGCCTATTTCTATAGGATTTATTCCTACCTCTTCAAATATAATGCAGTGCACAGGGAAGCTTTACCATTCAACAGGAAGGAGAGGAAACTCGAAGCTAATTGTTCTTACCCTGAAATATGTTAATATAATGAGTTAGCATATGGGCAAACAGTGATGCTGCACGCTGCCAACTTCCCACATTTTCCACTTACATTTATCCCACCCCTTTTTTTCTTCTGGGTAAATGAACAGATGGTTCAAACAGGAAAGAGACAGTGCTAATGACCACTGTAAATAAGAGATGGAGGCATTTGTTCTTCCCTGAGCATGTCACATACAATCCTTGAAATGAACTTCCAAGGCACATTTCAGTCTATTTTTGTACTTAATAGAAATGGACAGGTTTTGGTCACTTTTCCTGCCTCACTATGTAATGCCTTAGGAAATAAACCTTCCTGGAGTGCATTGTTAACCTTGTGTTTTAAAAGCACTTGGAAAAGAATTTGAACATTTTAAGGTATCATAACAAACATACTTTGTAGGCATCACTTTGGGAAAAAGAATTTGGGAGATTCTTCTAAGTGTTTCTCCTGACCTTTTTTAGATTGAGGGTGAAGAGCAATGTTTTCCCATTGCATGAACATGGGAATCTTAGTATGGATAGGGAGAGAAAGTGTGTGCACGTAGCATAATCATTGTGTTCTCCAAAAGGTTGAAAAATACATCTGCAGCAGTGATTTACGTGTTTTGTGCATCAGTCTGTAACTTTGCATGATTTTTAATTGATTTTTTTTCTCAAGGATTGTTTTATTTTAATGTGATGTGAGGAAATGCACATTTCCCACAAATTGGTTAGCTGATCCCGAGATTAGGATTAGTACCTTGAGTCTGGAAGATTTCATGTTGCATGTCAGTTTAATACATCTGCTAAGCAGGACAAAGATGTGCCAAGGTATTTGATAGCAACAAATGCAAATGTTCTTTAGAAGTTTTGAATTCAGTTCTTAAGAGCATTATTGGATATTTCCAGTTGTCTGCCAAAGAAGTTTGTATTGCATGGAAATGTAGGAAGGAAGAAACTCCAGATGAATTAGCAGAACTAATTTTCGGGAGATATCAGGTCTTGGCATTAGGAACTCAATTAATAAAATCACATTAGGGTATTATAGCTTTTTGCAAGTGAGAAAATGACAGCTAATAGTAAAAAGTTAACATGTAGAACAAAATATGTACCTACATTTCTGATACTTGAGACTGAAGTATTCAGGTGGCACATTAGCCTATACAGACAGTTCTTTAGGGACACTTCCTGAAGGGCTGGAAGAACATAAGTGTTACCATAACATATACCTCATCTATGGCAGTAGTTAAAACTAACAGCATACAGAAAGTTTTAAGAGCTTATTTTCAAATAAATTTCTGCAGTACAACTGGAACATCATTACTGTAGAAACTCTAATGATTTTTTAAAAATGAGATATTATGACAGGTCTGTGGGTTGTTTTTCAGTTTTTATTCCATCTGCAAATTCCTGGGCATGCAACAAGACTTGCACAACCCTCTTTGCATTGGAGCTAGATGTGCCTGTTTCCATGGCCCCTGCTTGAATTAATGTGGTCTGGATCCTTGGCACATTCCATAGTGGGCACTTGTACTAAACCAGTATTTTCAAGGTGGATAACACAGCAATTAACTGCATGTGCAGTGTTGTACTCCACAAACCTGACACTATTGTAGGGATGGATTTATTTTCGTGGCTGTCTCAGTCATCATGTAATGTGGCACTCAGGTAAGACCCTCAAGCTGCAGTGACTGCAGGAAACATTGCAACACCCTCGGTGGGAATCAAACAGTTAATAGGTGCCATTTGTCTTTGGGGAAGTTTTAATGGCTCTCCTGAAGTTATTCACCTTTAGATCAGTCAGAATCTGTTTGCTGTAAGGGGAAATCCTGTGTGGATCTGTGTGTATGGAAGCCTTGGTTTTCCACCTCTGGAGCTGTGATAAGAGAACAGTGTCCCTGAGCACTGAATACACTTAGTGGAGAGGCACCTGGTCTGCTCTGCAGACACTGGCAGCAGTAAATAAGGACACATTCTTCTGTCTCAGACAATTAAAAATGAGGTAGCAGCAGGGCTGAGGAGTCACCCTGCTCTCCTCCCTTATGGCTAACAAAGCAACAATGTCTGTGCTCTTTGTGTTGTCCCACAGGGGAGATGGCATGACTGACTCCTGATGTCTTGTTTGGGACTTCTGGTGCTGTAGCCTGCAAGTAGCTTTATCTGCCTGGTGTTTCTGTCTGCTGCCTCTCCCCTTGTGAAACAGGCAGCCAAATGCATGTTGTGAACAGGTCTTGTGTAGCAACAGATTTGTGGCCACACCATCTTGGGGTTAAGGTCCTCTCCTACCTGCTGGTTAACTTCAACCTTGATGTAGCTGCTCTTGATTCCACTGAAGGTCGAAGTTCCCATTGCATTCAAAGGCACAAATGAGCCTTAAGTTTAGATGCTGTTACAGGGTAATGATCCTTGAAAATACTCAGTCCTAGCTTTATTGATTGTAGAGTTAGATTAATGATTGCATGAGATTTCCATGAAAAAAAATGAGGTAAGTTTCATCCTATTAAAATATAAATAAAATTGCTTCTTAAAAAAAAAGGCACCAGTATGTCCATTTCACATGCTAACATGTGGTGGGCATACTTTCCATCATAGTATCATGAAATTGTTGCTTGGAAGAAGCAAAAGAAGATTTTGACTAGTTGTGATCCTTAGCTGTACCTTCTGTGGATGCTGTTACTGTTTTTAATGGAATTTCCACTTGTAGGTCAGTTCACTTTCTCAGTTTTGAAGGAAAGGCTCATTTAATGTTACACACTCCATTGTGTTGGTTTGTGGACTTCTCTTCTAAGGAATGTTGAATCTTTTTCTTTCTTCCCCCTAACATGCAAGTGGTTTTCTGTGCTTTACAAGCAAGCACTCATGTTTCACAAAATATGGATAAAAGTAGATATTGAAAGTGTGTATGTTGGTACTTGTGCAGTGTACAGCAGGATGTGCAGTAGTGTGGGAAGTGGAAAGTCAGATTTTCTGCCTGAAACCAAAGGAGCAATTGCTTTGATCACCTCACCTTTAGCTTGAGACACTGGGGAAAGAGAAGCATGTTGAAGGTGTGTGGCAAAGTGCAGCTTGTAAGGTAATTAGATTTGCCAGAGGGGATGGAAGCAGACAAAAGTAACTATTCAAATGTCATCTTCCCTTTAAAGTAACATCCTTAACTTTGAGACTTTCACTGAGATTTAACTGATCTTTACAGGAAGTTCATATTGTTCAATCAACGTTAATTAGCATTGAGTGCAATGTGAACAATACTCATCTGTTGTTTAAAATGGTTGAGTTTAGCCCAAGAAGAACTCTCAGCCCTAATGCAAGGAGGAGCTTCTCTTGTGAAAAGCAGATGTGGTCTGACAGCTTCCCGTGGCTCCACTGTGCTGAAACTCTCGGTGCAGAAACACTCAGTGCAGAGCCAGGAGCTACAGAACCATCTCCAGAGCAAGGCTTTGCACCTGGAATAAACCACTGTGCTGCTATGTTATCTCAGCACACTTCTGTCAGTTCAGACAACTAACAGAAACCTTTTCAGCCCAGGTGTTAACCTCTGTTCTGGCCTAACTCAGGGGTGCCCAGGCCATACATCCCTCTTGGTATCCTTGAGCTGAGGTTGCACAGCCACTAAAATCCCATGAGCTGCTCTACTCCTCTGGGTCATCACCCTCCCAGCCCCTCACTGGTGTCTGTGTGTCCCCACTGCTGGCAGAAGTGTTCAGAGAGCTGCTCAGAGCAGCTGCTCAGAGGCTGGACCCAGCTGAACTCTCTGTCCGAGTTGGTTTGTGTTACTTTTCAGCTGGATGTGTTCCCTAGTCCAGCTGAGAGCACAGCTGCCTGGATGTGGCTGCTGTGTGAGCTGTGCAGGCTGGGGGAGGGTGGGATCACTCCTATTGGAGGAAGCATGGATTTATTCTGGGTTAAAATGACTGCAACCACAGCATGAGTATTCCTAACCCCAGGCATTCAAAAACTATGAGTCAGGCTTTGGAATTACCTTCCCCCTACGTATTTCAGTATTTCTGGTGTAACCTTTTACTCGCAGTGATTCAGAGGTTGCAATTGCATATGATATGGAAAAATTTGTTGCATGTACAAAATTTGTAAAAGACCTTTATGGCAGTTAATTTCTAGGAATCAATGTTCAAGCAAGAGTAATGTGTTCATCCCTGTTGAGTTCAGTAGTGTGCTGCTCTCAGTTAACTGAGCATCTGGCTCGGGGTTTTCATTCGGATAGAGCTGCAGAAGTTTGCAAAATTGGACTAATTATCGGGCAGATAATGAATTAATGAGTTGGAGTATTACTTGCAGAAAATGAAGGAGTTCATCCTGATGCTGAACATGGTAAAATCAGATTTGTCAGCATTACGTCGTACATAATGTTACATTGCACACACCTCTGCTGGTGGATCCAGCACTGCGTTTCTGGTCAGGATGGGTGTGTGAAGAGAGGTGTTTGCTGCTCTCTGGGATGCTTAGGCAATCAGAGCTGGCAGCACAATCTTTAGAGGTCAACTTTAGCCATGATTTTAACTTTGTGTCCTGCTTTGCCCTGAGGCTAAAGCTGAGGAAGGACAGGTTAAGAGCCACCACTTCCACCAGCAGCTGGAGTGCTGTGTTGAATGGAGCTGAGCTGGAGCAGGCAATGTGGTCTTCTTGTATTAGTACAGTTAGACTTTCTGTGCACTAGAATGCCTAGATCCTGATCTGTGCTCCGAGCAGGACAAAAGCTGAAGCCAAATATTAGGAGATGCTCCTTCACGTTTTAAAATAAAACAAACAAAACCCCCTCACCCAATAAAACCACAAAGAAGAAAAAACCCTGATGTGTGTCCTCCACCCCAAACCAAGAACAAAGTAACCTTCCTGTAGATCTGAGCAGATTATCAATCTGCTTTGAAAGAAGTGTGGGGGGAAAAAGAAAAAAGCTTTTTTGTGAGGTATTTCACATCATGCCAGTGTTTTTCAGTTTGTGTGGAAACTTGGACTGAACATTTTGTCTTGTGGCTGGCTTGGCTCCATGTTGTTAGTGCTCTAGCTGGAGTTAACACCAACAGATACACCTTTCAGGCTGTAAAATGATCTGCAAGTGGCTGATTTCACAATTAACATTGGGTTTTTTATTTCTCTGTTCATTATATTTCAGTGACACTTTCTGCTGCCACTCCTGCTTACTTTCGAGGGTTCACCTTGATTGCCCTCAAGGAAGGAAAAGAAGGGGACAAAGAGGAAGACCATGCAGGATCTTTCCAGGTGAGAGAACTTTCCCTGACCTACACCTCTTGGAGTCGTTCTTACTGATTGATTGGCCCAAAGGGAGATTTTATATGCACAGAGGAATGCAGACTATGCTTAAGTAAGCATAAACATTTGTGGATGTTGACATGAGAACAAAATAGCATGTTCTATATTCCATGCAACCTGTTGAATGGATCAGGGCTCTTGTACCTTGACTTCAGCTTCTCTTCCCACATTCTTACAGTTAAAAGTGAGCATCAGTTACTTCAACTAGAGCCTAGGACACCTGAACTTGTTGTCCAAAGTGAATGTGAAAATTGTTCTGTTCAAATTTTTGCTTTTTGTATTTCTTTGCCTAGATATTTTTGTCCATTGAGATGTAGTTTATGACTCTAAGGAGTGTTTGCCACAGCTGTATTGACTATTTTATCAGTCATAAATTAGATCCTGCTCTTTTATTTATGCTCAGTAGTACTTTACCTAATGACCACAATCAGTGGGACAAAATTTTATCATTCTTAAAAGGATCAGGATCCAGAGTGATGATTCACAAAATGGTATTTTCAGCTACTTCAAGTTCACATTTCATGAAGGAACTTCTGAAAATTGAGAACATACATTAAATTGATGAAAGTAGGTAGAAATTATGTAGGTAGATGTTCTGGTAACTTTTGCAGCAGCCAGGAAGGGCCCATCAGGTTATTCCATACCCCCCAGGTCGTGCAAGTCCTTTGCCTGTCTTTGACACTCTGTTATTAATACAGTTGTTGCTGTTCATTTTTCTTACTTTATTGCTGGTTCTTAGTAAATTGTGCTTATCTGAGCCTTTATCTTTACCTTTTGTGCCTCCAATTCCCTCCATCCTGGGCAGGGGGAGGGTTGAGTGAGCAGTGAGTGGTCTGGGGGTTCAGTGGGAACACTAAATCAAGGAATATCACTGCTCAACCAGGATGGTAGATTTGAATCTCAGATGAGGTATTCTTTGCTATTTGACTTTCCAAGCTTAGAAATATTGTTGAAAGATACTGATTACAATTGGCAGGATGTGTAATAATATTGTGATAGTGATTTTAATAATGATTTCTAGATGGAAGATTTTGCTTGCCTCAAAGACATTTCTATGTTTGCAAGGGAAGTACTCACTAGTTCTGATGTTGGTGATCTACAAAGAGGCAGAAATCAACTTAATCTTAACATCTCTTCCTGAAGCATCTTCTGTATTTTAGTATATAGCAAATATAGTGTGCAAACTCAGTAAAGAATTGCCCTGTTTTCCTGTTGAGTTTGCCTAGAGGTCTTTTTCTGGGTTTTGTACACGTGTAAGAAACTCTAGAATAAATGAGAACTTATTTGATGTTGGAATAATTCCATTTTCCTTAAAATGGAACTATTTCCTAATATTATTTGGAAGAAATCTTTTTAATATGGACTTTTTAATGTTGGAAGTTTTTTTAAAGATAAAGCTAGCATTGAAGCTTCAGCTACTGTGAGGAAGTGGAAATGATAGTGCTTCATCTATTTTAAAAGAAACTTGTCACCATTAATTTCTGCATTTCAGTTGTTAATGTCTCTATGGCTGTGGCTAATGGGAAAGATTTGGTCTGAGTTCTGCCTTTATGTCAAACTCTCAGTGAGAAACTCACTAAGCCTTGCTGAAGTACAGAGGATTTTGTAGTGAGCAGAGTGGGATGCAAATGGAAATTCTATATAGATGGAGGGGGAAAAAAGCCCAATGGATTTCAGTGGAGGGAAGGTTGTTTAATTAGCTTTATTGTATAGATTGCAATCTGAGCTCAGTGTATTGGCAGGTGGGTGTTTCAAAGTTTATGCATAACTAAATCTCTGTATCTGTGGCACAAACAGTACTCACTGTGCTCAGCCCACATGGGCACAATTAACTGAAGTTTAGTCCGATGGTGTCTGCCAGTTCTGCCTCTGTGGGTACAGAGGTAAGGTTCTTATTTGAATACCCAGAGAATGTTTGCAGGGATAAATAACTGCCAGTCCTTGTGTCATGGCTAGGTGCTAGTAACTAGGGGAACAAAAGATGCTTAGCTCAAGGGTTTGCACTGTGTTTTTATTATAAAGTGAAGATCCTAAGGATCCTTTTTTTTTATTATAAAGTGAAGATCCTAAGGGTGGCTGAACAGCTGTGCAGAGCAAAAGAAAACAAAGCTGTGTACACAGTAACTTGCATGCCACTCAGTGATGTTTTTCCTGTGTTTGGATGGAGTATGTGTTACTCAATGAGTTACCTAGTGAAACAGAACTTGGTGAAAACTCCTTAATAGTGACAAGAGACTAAATGCTGCTTCTGGACTACAGGCATAAAGTTCTGCCTCCACGAGGAGACATGCAAGCTGTTCAAATAATACTCAAAGCAAAGCACAGGAATGTACTGCATGAGGCAAGTGCTTCGTTCCTATTAGAAGGATTTTCAGTATAACTAGGATAGAATGAAATGAAAGTTGACCAGATAAGACCTATGCTTTTCTTCCATGACTTAGAGACTGTAAACCACCTGATTTTCATGCCTGTGTGTGCCACCTTCAAATTGTGAAGTATGAGTTGCAAAGACTTTCATTCTTTCATTTTAATTGCCATTGAGTGGAGACCTTTAGCCAAGTGTAGTTTGGACTCCACCATTCTAAATCTGTCTTCCTCTGAGACAACTGAGACTTGAAAATGTGATTTTCCTGTTGTTTGTTTATTTAATGCTGCCAGACTTCTTTTTCCTTGTCCTTGTAGTACACACAGGGCACAATTCAGCTTTAAAATAAATCACATTGTCTCCCACAAACACACAAACATATGTTAAATAGCTAAATTCAGTATGGTTGGGGAATTCAAGATGCCAAATTCAGTCATAGAAGTTTAGGAATATAATGATATGGCTCTTACTTATGCCAGTGGTACCACTCAGGGGTGCAGTGAGGCACTCTGAAGGCTTTGGGTATCGTGTCCCATTGGCCTCTTTACACAAGCCATTCCCAACTGTTGTCATGTAGACTGCTGATCTTTATCTTTTGTAATGTTTAGCAACAGTCTGCAAATGGTTATGAAGGCAAATTATACTTGAGGGCAACAATAAAGCACTGATTGACTATAGAACAGTATCTGTACAGGCCATTTTAATCAACATGTGTATGCAATGTAATAGATTTAGTCTGATAAATAATGTAGAATAATAGAAACTCAGTCTTCTCTATTTTTCTTGGTCTCTGGGAAAGAATAAATATTCCAAGAAAATTCTTGGTGGATGTTTTTGTCAATCTGTTCTGAAGTGTTCAACAACAACAAATTAATCTCTCCAAGTGGCTCATTCAAACGTTTCAATAGATTGTATCTTATAGAAAATCTAAGGACAAGTTTGTAGAGCTTTTACTGACCTCTAAATTGAGGTCTCACTAATAGTGGTTAAGTTGCTCTTATGAGGTTGTCTTCCTAAGTTAAGAATTTTCTTGTTATCTTATGAGGTTGGTGTTCTGAAGTTTCTTTTATTCGCCCTCCAGTTCCACACACTCTTTACCTGTTCCTTATTAAGTCTTCCATAGTTGCATTGTAGGGCATATTCTTTCAGTTTTGCTATTTCTGCAGTCAAGTTGACATTTCAGTCTTATGTTCCTCAGAATTGTGTACCATAGTCAGTTTGGACCCTGAGCACAGAATCATTTGAAGTTTGGATACAGTGCCATAATTGCTTTCTTTCTCTTCGTTCAGAATCCTCTAATTTGTCTTTATTGCAGGAGCATCTCAGTATTGTACAGGAGGTGCATCCAAAATCCTTTCCTGCGAGCATTGTTGCCTCCATTGTGATTCCTCATTTTCTGTCTGTGTGTTTTATTCTGTTGAAGTGTAGAGCTTCGTCCAGTTTATCAAGGAAGTTCTGAACTACAATCCTGCCCTTTAAAATGCTATTCATTCCTAAAAAAATGGGTGCTATTTGTGGACATGCCTGATAATTAAACACTCAAGAGATAGTGTGCAAATGTGACCTGCTTTCCTCACATACAGCTATAAATGGAGTCATGAAGACTCAAAATTAGACACTTTTGTGTTGCTTTGGCATAAGCAGTTGATAGATTTTTATATTAGGTCTGCTATCTTTGTGATAGTTTAGTGTTAAATGTCCTCATCACAATTTTGTCCTGGAGGTGTCCTTTTGACTTTTTTTGCTCTAAGTTGAATCAAGAATTTCTTAGCTTAGGTCACTGAATTTAACAACCCACAAGTACAAAACCAGTGTAAGAACAAATGTAAGCAGTAGCAAGAGTGAAGGTTTCAGTAAATTGTGGCATTTATAAAAGCTAGAAATGTGCTGAAGAAGAAAACACTTAGGGAAATTGGAGTACTAGTGAGCTAAATAAGATAAGTGGTGCTTTATCCCAAGTTGTCCTTCTCCAGGTTTACCCTGAAACAACAGCCCAAAGGTTGCTGCACACGTGCTGACTGGTGGCCTGGCCTGATGCTGTTTAGTTGACCAATGTGCTTACCAAGGAATTTAGATTAAAAGGTATTTTTACAACCTCTTAGAAAAGCACTTCCAGCAGGTTGTAGGAATCTTACATCTTCTTAAAAAGCTGATCCATTGTATTTTGAAAGAAGCAGTCTGAAAAAGCTTTTAGCCATGTCAAGTGATTTATTCTTGTATTTATAAGCAAACTTTGTTTGTAGCAGAAACATCTCTGATAGTTATTTGCTGCTGATGAGGCTGTAGAAAAAGGAAACTAGATCCTGACCATGTAGGCTTTTTTGCATGCTTCCTTTGCATTTATTTCTTCTGGTTTCAGCTTGTGCTGTGAATGAGGCAAAAATTTTTATGTTGTAACTTTTCTCAGTTTCTGCATGTCCCAAACTTTAGTTTGTTAAACCTTGGGAAATTCCCAGCTCCCCCACTCCTGCTGTGTCTTTTAGAACTAATGATTCAAACCATAAAATTGTGGCCAAAATCAGAGAATATGAGAATTTCTGAGTATTGTTTTGTTATGGATTTCATTACAGTGGATCTTTGAGCT